CAGCATGGCCAGGAAATCAATACGAAGTCCTGGTGAGGCCAGAGCCGTGCAACTCAGAGTCAGAGGCCTGGGAGACCCCGATCCTGTTCCTCCCTGAACTCACGCCGGGGGAGGGCAGGTCACGCCCTTCCATGAAGCAGTCACCAATCTTTGCCTGGGTCTTCATGGGCCGGAGCTGCCTGTCCTCAAGCTCTCCACTCCGTGCCTGCGCACTCCAGCACTTCACGGGTACCAGCCAGGGAGCCTCAGCCACTCTCAGCATGGCCCTGGGATAGGGGGCATGGGCCCTCCATGTGACATTAGAGAGCAGACCACAGCCCCTTAACCACAGGGAGCGGAGCCCCCACCTCTTGGGGGCTGGGTGTGTGAAGTGGAGGGAGGCCATAAAGCCAGGGTGGAGAATGGGGAGAGGAGGAGGGGTCCCCCAGGGCCAACCTCCCAGGCCTTATTCAGGATGCCACACAGGAAGGCCCTTGTGAATGCACAGGGCGACCCCTGAGCAGATGCCTCCAGTCATTCACCACTCACTGAGCACCTACCAGGCAGGCGCTGTTTGAGGTTCTGGGGAAATAGCAGGGAAGCAGAGAGGAAACCCAAATGGGACACAACATTGTGGGTGGGGAGGTGAGGAGTGCTGGAGAGAAAGTCAGAAGGGCGGGGTGCCCGAGGGTTAGGGGTGTAATTTCAAACGGCGGGGTAGAGAAGGCCTGGTGGATGGAGACCTTGGAAGAGAGGACAGGGTGGAACGATTCCCCAAGGATGTCTGGGGGAAGCAGATAGGGCCCAGTGACCAGGAAAAGATCACTGTGCAAAGCATCTCCCTATCCAGCCTGCCCCTCCCACAGCCCTATGTGGAGCTGGCATGGCCAGTCACACTTTACAAAGAGGGAAAGCAGGCTAGAGAGGAGAGGGGCCCACCAGGCAGCCCCCAAGTCTGCCACACTACACACATCAGTGGAGTTATCTTCCTGTGTGCGGACAGTGGCAGGGGGAGGGTTGGGGGTAAGGTCCAGGGATCTGTGTCCTCACAGGGAGGCTGGCCAAGCATACTGGAGGAGGAGTAGGGCTGTGGGACCCCTCTGGGCCTGGCCAGCTCGCAGGGGCCCCAGTGCCACAGGCATCCCCTCTGATAGAAGGTGGCGGCCCAGGGAAGGCTGGCTCCTGTGCAGGTCTGGGGCTCTAGGGAGCACCCACCCACCGTCCCCCTGGAGCTGCCCTCAGTGGCTCCTGGTCTACAGCACCAGACTCAGGTGTGACCCGCAGACTCAGGGTCCATGGCCTGGTAGCCCACTGCATTGTCTCCCTCGGCCCCCAAGTGTGAGACCTCCTTTCACAGTGACTCTCTGCCTGTATCCTTCTGGCCCCAGGGGACACTGGAGGGAAGGGGCTAAGTCTGCAGAACCTTCTGGAAAAGGTTTCTTTGTGCTGAAGCCCTGCCAGCAGGCCTGGCCCAGCACCCCTGGTGTGTGTGGGTTGGAGGGGGGGCAACTGTAACAGGGCTTTGTCTCAAGAAGCCCCCCACCTCTCCTTACCCACCAGCCCACTATAGCACAGCTGGCCAGCTGGCACTGGGCCACTGTCTGGGAGGGTGGGCGGGGCAGGCATGGGCAGGCTCTTGTTTCTGAGCCTCACAAGGCCTGAAAAGGGGGGCAGGTGGGGGGGCTCAGAGAGGGAAGTGGGCCACCCCAGGTCACATTGCAGATTGGCCACAGACCCCAAGTCGGTGGGACTCAGAGGCTGGGTCTGTTCCCACTGTACCACTTCCCCTCTGCGGCTGGGCTGCTCCTGCCTCTGCTCACTGGGGTGCAGGAGACAGGGCGCAGGCTGCGGAGCCCCCCTCTTGCTAGGAAGCCCTGCCTCCTTGGTAGGGATGGGAAACACCATCAGATTGGAGCCTGGACCACTAGCCATGGAGAATATAAGCTTTCCAGGGGGCCCAAGGACTGCTCGTAGCCAGGTGGCCTGAGGTGGATAAATGAATGTGTGACTCCAAGCTCTACCTCTCTGAGAGTAGGACCCAAACACCACCTTCCTCCTAGCTTACAGGAGCAAGGACGAGGTAGCTGCCAGGCCCAGCTGAGGAGATGCTGCCTCCAGGAGCCTCGGCTCCCCATTCCCAGTCTGTAAGGCCAGGGGGCCTTGCCTGCCTTCAACAACAGCCTCCAATTTGTGACCACGTCATGACCATGGCCAGCCTGAGACATTTGACATTTGTTTAAAGCTGTTAAAAATAATAGGTTTGGCTGGGCCCAGTGGCTCATGCCTGTAATCCCAGCACTTTGGGAGGCTGAGGTGGGTGGATCACAGGGTCAGGAGATTGAGACCATCCTGGCTAACCCAATGAAGCCCTGTCTCTACTAAAAATACAAAAAAGTAGCCTGGTGTGATGGTACATACCTATAGACCCAGACACTCGGGTGGCTGAGGCAGGAGAACTGCTTGGACCCAGAAGGTGGAGGTTGCAGTGAGCCGAGATCAGGGCTTGAATTCCAGCCTGGGTGACAGAACTAGACCCTGTCTCAAAAGAAAAAAAAAAAAAAAATTAATATACTTGATTTAAGAGCTATGGGGAAAAAAGAACACAAGGGATGAACATTTCCCACATTGTTCTGATTGTGAATTCCTCTTAACTGTTGTGTCATCCATGCAGTGACACAGAGCTTGCTGCAGCCCACCCCCACCCCATTTAGGAGGCCCAAGTGGAAAGGTTCCTGTGAGGCCAGGCACCTGCACACACCATAGACACAGACCCTGCAGGCCTTTTGTCCCGGCACCTGCCCAACACGGGCACATAGGAAGCACCCGGCAAACATTTGTGTCACATGAATGGGTGTCGCATTTGTGTCTGCTACTCTTAGCAGCTGGCCTCTCTCTCTGGCCAAGGTGAGGGACCCTGGAACTCTGACAGTGGGTTCCAGCCCTCCCACTCTCTCTGTCCCCAAGAGCAACCTCCTCGAATCTCTGCTGGGGTCAGAGCAGCCAGCGCTTCTGCTGTGAAACGCAGACCTGGGGCAGATGGGCCCCCTCCTCCTAACTCCTGTAAATTCTCCCAACTCTGGCCTCACTGGGCCACCCTCTCCAGGGACAGGTTCCCTGTTCCTGGGTTCCCACAAGCCTCAGTCTGCTCACATGGCTGGCACAAGGGCTAAGTGAGTGGCCTGGGAGTCAGGCCTCTGCAGCCCTCACTGATGGGTAATAGCACCAACAGTGTTATTGAGTGGAGGTGTGGGTGTGGGTGTGGGTGTGGGTGTGGGTGTGGGTGTGGGTGGCAGGGTTGTGGCCCAGTCTTCTGGCTTTGTCCCCACTCCTCTGCCCCACAGAGAGGCTTTTCCTGCTCTGGCTCCCCTCCAGGCTCCTGCCCCCCATCTCCATACCATACACCCATGCTCACCCACACCTGCTCCCACCCCCACATCACCGTACACCCACACTCACCCACACCTGCCCCCCGGCCCCACTTCTCCTTTACAGCTCCCCTCCGCCTACACCTTCCTGTGTGGGAGCTGCTGGCCCGTGTGCAGCGGATGGAAAGGGTGGGCCTGCACCCACTAGTCAGGGCTGGCTGACTGGGGTTCTTTGTAAACCTTCAGGGTCTCCCAAACCAGAAACCCAGGGGCTGGCCTTGCTCCCCTCACTCCATGACCAGCCACTTCATCATCCCCTACCCTGGGGCACCTGCCCTGAACCTGGGCCACAGTGCCAGAGAGAGGGGCTTTTGCAGCTACAGCTAAGAATCTCTCTCCTACCCAGACGCCCCCAGGCTCTACAGGGCCCGGGGCCTGGTGCCCTGCCCACCCACAGTCCCAGTGCTCCCTCCCTCCCAGCATCCCCTGTGGCAGTGGCCATGCCTGTCCCCAGGGCAGCTCGGGCTTCCCCTTCACCTCTCCAAGCCTTAGCCCCTGTGGCATTCTGCCTGGAGTGCTTGCCTCCACCTTACCACTGCTCAGGGTCTCCCTCTGCCCCCAAGCTCCCTCACCTGCCTCCGAGTCTCTCCTCCCAACGTGCTCCCCCACCCCTGAGTGCTTAGGGGTCTGGGTGGCACACGTGGCACTTAACCCCATGCTCCCTGCTGAGCCCTGAGCTCCCTGAGGCGTCTCCAGCCCTGGCCCTGGGGAAGAAGTTGCATGTGACCAGGAGGGCGGAGGGGGCTTGTGTGTGCATCTGAGGCTCAGTCTGAGAGAGACATGGGTGACAGACACTTGGGGACCCCAAACACTGGGGAGCAGAGATAGACAGGAGGGGCCCGAAGTGAGACATGGAGGTCAGCAGAGGGGGACACATAGCCCTGGAGGAAAGGAGTCGGGGTGAGTGGACCTCCCTCCACCACAGTCATAGGCCCCTTGCTCATATGCAGATCTACCAGGGTGCTCCCTGCTCAAAGCCCCAGTTGCTCCCTCGTGTCCCCAAGCCACAGTCCAAGCTCCCTAATGTGCTAGATAAAGCCCCAGTCCAGCCCTTCAGTCCCAGCACTCCCTGGACCTCCTGTTTGGGTCTCCAAGCCTTTGCTCCCGCCTTTGGCCTTCACCCCCATCTGTGCCATAGACCTTACTCCATCTGGCAAACACCTCACCATCACCTCTTCCATGAAGCCTTCCAGCCCACTTTCCAAGATGACATGAGCTAGTGCCCTTGCTGTGAGGCTGCCTTCCCCCATCAGCACAAGTGTGAGATTCTTTCAGGGCAGACCCCCTGCTACTTGGACCTGGTACAAGTGTCTGATGTCAGGCCAGTCATGGTGGCTCATGCCTATAATCCCAGCACTTTGGGAGGCCCAGGTGGCAGATCACCTAAAGGTCAGGAGTTCGAGACCAGCCTGGCCAAAATGGTGAAACCTCATCTCTTCTAAAAATACAAAAATTAGCCAGTGTGGTGGCGCACACCTGTAGTTCCAGCTATTCTGGAGGCTGAGGCAGGAGAATCACCTGAACCCAGGAGGCAGAAGTTGTAGTGAGCCAAGATCACCCACTGCACTCCAGCCTGGGTAATAGAGCCGTTTCCCAAAAAAAAAAAAAAAAAAAAAAAAAAAACAAGGGGGGTGTCTGATGCCCCCAACCAGCTCTGTCCCAGAAGGGCACAAGGATTCTCTAGAGGAGGAGACAGGTAGGTGGTGGAGATGACTGGGGAGCACCCGGGGCCATGGAGCGGCCTTGGTGAGGCGGAGTGGAGGAGCCACTCAGAGGGGTGTCCTGGCTGCAGGGCCCATCCCCCTTCCTGCCCCAGAGGAGGCTGTGGTCTGGCCCCAGCCATGTCCCAGCACCTAGCAGAGGGCTCGTCCAGGCGGTGCTGGTTGAGTGGCTGAATGGGAGAGGCCCGGGGCTCAGGGCCCGAGGGAGCGCGGTCCCACCCAGCGGGCCGGGGGCGGGGCAGGGCTGAGTACTCCGCCCTGCCCCGCCCCTCAATTCCACCCTGGGAGCCCCACTCAGCCGCAGTCCCCAAGGCTGGTGCGGCGGTGCTGGCACCATGAGGCGAGGGCCCCGGAGCCTGCGGGGCAGGGAAGCGCCGGTCCCCACGCCCTGCGTCCCGACCGAGTGCTACGACCTGCTGGTCCGTAAATGCGTGGACTGTAGGCTCCTACGCAAATCGCCGCCGAAAACAGGCAAGGGGGACCCACGGGGCGCGTGGCGCTGGCAGCGACGGGGAGGAGGAGGCCCCAGTCGCCGGGGGCTTAGAGGGCTAAGAGGACCCACCCAGGATCACCGCATAGCCCTCACCGCCCCCCTCCCCGCTGTCCCTCCCCTCCCCGGCCAACCTCGCACCTCCTCTACTGCAGCAGCTGGAGCCAGCAGCCCTGCGCCCGGGACGGCGCTGCAGCCGCAGGAGTCGGTGGGCGCGGGGGCTGGCGAGGTGGCGCTGCCCCTGCCCGGGCTGCTCTTCGGCGCCCCCGCGCTCCTGGGCCTGGTACTGGTCCTGGCGCTGGTCCTGGTGGGCCTGGTAAGCTGGAGGCGGCGACAGCAGCGGCTTCGCGGGACGGCCTCGACTGAGGCCACCGACGGAGACAAGGACGGTGAGTTCCGGGTGTGGGGGAACCAGTCCAAGCAGGGCGCAGGGGCTGGGGTTGTGGGGACGGCCTGGGGGATGATGCAGGGGGAGAGAAGGGCTTTAAGGGGGGACATGGACGGAGAGCAGAAAAGTGTGCCCTTCGGCGCTCAGACTGGGCACCGAGACATAATCCTGCACCTGAACCCGCGGTTGGAGCCAGGAACAGCTCTGTCTTGCCAGACGCCAGTGTGAGGAAGAGACAGGTCTCGAGAAGGGGGTCCCTGTCTGAGGGAGGAGTCTGTCCTGCCCTCTTGGAGTCTAAGAAGCTTGGGTCCTGCAGGGTTTGCCAGACTGAGTCCCAGCTCCCCAACTCCTTGCCCTGCCAGCTCCCCACTGGCCAGGCCTCTGGACTCAGGGTTAGCCTTGTGCCACCCCCTCCCTGCCCTGCAGTGAGCTTCATTTGACAGAGGACTGCTCCTCCAGAGGAGGCTTCTAGAGAGGGAGGGAAGTCTGTGACCCAGTACTGAGCCTCTGTCCCCTTGGCCAGCAGCCCCAGAGCCCCTGGACAAGGTCATCATTTTGTCTCCAGGAACCACTGATGCCACAGCTCCTGCCTGGCCTCCTCCTGGGGAAGACCCAGGAACCACCCCACCTGGCCACAGCATCCCTGTGCCAGCCACAGAGCTGGGGTCCACTGAACTGGTGACCACCAAGACAGCTGGCCCTGAGCAATAATAGCTGGCAGGAGGTGCCTCCTGGCCTCCCTCCCAACCCCAGCCAGGGGTTTGGAAATCAAATTCAGCTTTTCACTCCAGCATGCACCTGCTTTCTTTCTGGGACCAGGCTAAACCCTGCAGAAGCACAGACAGTACCGACCACAGCATTCAGCCAGCATGGACTTTGGTGTGCTCGCCTTTGGCTTCAGACCATACCATCTCTGACAGCCCTTGAAGGTGGTAGCCCAGCTCCTGTGCCTTCGAAAGGTTGGGGCGCTCTGAGTAAGAGACTTCTCTTTTAAAATGGGGACGGCACCATTAAGCCAAACTGAATCTGAAAAAAGACCAAGTGGGAGGATACTTAATTTGTAGTAGTTGGGTGTGGTTTTTTTGTTGTTGTTGTTGTTTTTTTTTGAGACAGTCTTGCTCTGTCGCCAGGCTGGAGTGCAGTGGTGTGATCTTGGCTCACTGCAACCTCTGACTCCCTGGTTCAAGTGATTCTCCTGCCTCAGCCTCCCAAGTAGCTGGGATTACAGGCATGCACCACCATGCCCAGCTAATTTTTGTATTTTTAATAGACACAGGGTTTCACCACATTGGCCAGGTTGGTCTCGATTTCTTGACCTCATGATCCACCCACCTCGGCCTCCCAAGTTGCTGGGATTACAGGCATGAGCAACCACACCTGGTCTTTTTTTGTTGTTTTTAAGACAGGGTCTTGCTCTATCACGCAGGATAGAGTGCAGTAATGGGACCCTGGCTCATTGCAGCCTGGGCTCAAGTGATCTTTCTGCTTCAGCTTCCTGAGTAGCTGGGACTACAGGTACTCCACCTTGCCCAGCTGATTTTTTTTTCTTTTTTTCTCTTTTGAAGATGGGATCTTAATATGTTGCCCAGGCCAGACTCAAACTCCTGGCCTCAGGCCGTCCTCCCCAAAGGGCTAGAATTATAGGCATGAGCCACCTGGCCTGGCCTGTATTTCTTTAATACCTGTCCTCAGAGCTGTCCTGCTTTTAAACTGATGCAAATAGCAAAAGTAACCAATTCATGCGTTTGCTTGCTTTAAGGTTTAGTACAAGATTATTTTAAGAAATAACAAAGAATAGCCGGGCGCGGTGGCTCAAGCCTGTAATCCCAGCACTTTGGGAGGCTGAGGCGGGTGGATCACGAGGTCAAGAGATCGAGACCATCCTGGTCAACATGGTGAAACCCCATCTCTACTAAAAATACAAAAAAATTAGCTGGGCATGGTGGTGCGTGCCTGTAATCCCAGCTACTCAGGAGGCTGAGGCAGGAGAATTGCCTGAACCCAGGAGGCGGAGGTTGCGGTGAGCCGAGATCGCGCCATTGCACTCCAGCCTGGGTAACAAGAGCGAAACTCCGTCCCAAAAAAAAAAAAGAAAAAGAAATAACAAAGAATAAAAGATTGAGGTGGATTTTGCTAATTCTCAGGTAGCTGTATCCCAGGGTCAACCCTGAGACTGGCCCAATCTGCCAGAACCTAAGATGCCATTTTGACCCCAGTGGCAGCTTCCAGAGCCACAAGCCTGCACTTGGGAGGAAGTGTGCAGCCTCCAGGGCTGGGCTCCAAACTCGAGCTGAGGAGCATGCTGGCAGGCAGCTCTCTAAGGGTCCACTTGGGGTTCCAGCTGCTCCAAGGCACAGCACATTCAGCCATACACGGGGTATGGCCGGGACCTACAGGAGGCTCCTTTGTGCAGAGGCCAGGCAGGCCTGTGACCTTGAACTGTGTGGACATGAGGTTCCTTGAACTCCCTTCTCTCTCTGGCTTGTTCCCCTGAAGCACCGCCCCCCCTAGTGCTGGGGTCATTTGGCCAGTCTGTGCCAGCCCCCAGGTCACCTACTGTCACAGTGGAAGCTGCTCCCTCCTCTTACAAGGATGTACCTTGTTTTGGGGTCTGGGGACAAGGCCATCTCTTTCCAGTCCTGGACGACACTGCACAGCCTGCCTGCCCTCCTGCACAGGGTCAGACCTCCTGACCCAGATTCCGCCCTGGGCAGCTTCCTTCGAACTTGTTGCAGGTTAGCATCTTTGGAAGGGAGCACTGGACTAGGAGTCAGAAGGTGGAGTTCTGGGTACTGTTTTCCCTCTGTTGGGCCCTGGGCATGTTCTGTTCCTGCAGCAGATGTTTTCTGCCTGCCTCTCCTGAGCAGCCACCGGAGTCGCCTGTAGACCCCTGCCAGGCCTCTGGACTCAGTGCTTACTGTCCCAAGGGCCTGTTTTGTGCCCAGCTCAGAAGACAGTGACCATTCACATCCAGGTCTCTGCCTGGCTACTTGCTCTGTGAACCCATCTCAGATGCCCCTGCCCCCAGGGAGCCAGGTGACAGGGTGTGGTCAAATGGATAAGCAGTAGGTGTGGGAGAGGGCTGGTGGGGTCAGGCCCACATGGACCCAGCTGTCCACTCCCCTCCATCTGAGGCTGGGGGAGTCTGAGCTGCTCCTGGCCACTGTGTCTCCCACCCCATCTTCTGGACACCCCATCTCTCACCCCATTTTCTCCTGGACACCCCATCTTCTCCAGGACACCCCATCTCTCCCACATCATCTTCCTCTGCCCACCCCATCTACTACCCCTTTTTTGGCTATATCCGGGGTTAGCTCAGCAGGTGAAAACCCAGAGTGTGGGTGAAACCCCTCTGGGGCCCAGACATGCAAACCTTGGGGATCTCTCTGTCCCAGCTGGACCCTCTGGCCGATAGGAAGTTTCCCGAGTTCTCAGTTTTTTCTTCTGAAAAATGAGAGGTTGGATGTAAGGTTCTCCTCCCGGCCTGTGGCCCCCAGAGAAGGAAAGGAAGGAGCCTTAGATAATTCTCACATGGATTTCACAGATAAGGAGACTGAGACCCATAGCCGTCATATCGATACCTCATTTGATCTTCATAAGAGCACCTGGAGGAGGGGGGTGGGGTGTTTGGGTTTTTTTTTTTTTTTTTTTTTTTTTTTTTTGCATTCCAGGCTGGAACGCAGTGGTGTGATCTCAGCTCACTGCAACCTCGATCTCTTGACCTTGTGATCTGCCCACCTTGGCTTCCCAAAGTGCTGGGATTACAGGCCTGAGCCACTGCACCTGGCCCCTGCTTTAAAATTTTATGAAAAAAATGGAGATATGCATTTTGTAGACAATCTGCAAGTTTTGGATGGGAACCCATGATGTAGCCAGGAAAGAAATGACCCATGTCCAGTAACCCCAAGCCTGCAGTGTGTGTTTTTCTACATAATTGTAATCATTTCTATACATTAAATTCATGTCTTGACCATCATATTAATATTTGGTAAGTTTCTCTTTAAAGACTTTCCAATCACAATAAGCCTTTCAACATGGTAAGGTTTTCCACCTGGGCATTTGGCCATGTTGGTTTTGGCTGTTGAGGCTTCGAGTGCCTGTTTCCTTCCACATGGGCCTGTGCAGGAGTCCGAGTCCCAGCACAGTTGTTGCACCAAAGGCCTTGACTTTTTTTAGTGGGGAAGTCTTGCTCTGTTACTCAGGCTGGAATGCAGTGGTGCCACCTCTACCTCCCATATTCAAGCAATTCTCCTGCCTCAGCCTCCCGAGTAGCTGGGACTACAGGTGCCCACCACCACCCCCAGCTAATTTTTCTATTTTTAGTAGAGAAGGGGTTTGGCTATGTTGGCCAGGCTGGTCTTAACTCCTGACCTTAGGTGATCCTTCTGCTTTGGCCTCCCAAAGTCCTGGGATTACAGGTGTGAGCCTCTGCACCTGGCCAGGCCTTGACTTTTTTTTAAAAAAAAAAAAAAAAAAAAAAAAAAGGTCCCTGTTGGTCCAATTTTTCTCCTGAAAATCTGGACCATTTCACATCTATGAGCAGGGATTACATGGTCCAGTTTGCAGATATGAAAAGGGAGGCCCTGTGAGGTAAAGGAATCCGGCCCAAGATAGAACAGGTAGGTGGTGGAGCTGGGCAAACCCTGGGTTCCTGCCCCTGCCCGGCATGCCTGCCCAGCAGGTCATGGGCACACCCTCCTTGGGAGTGGAAGACTCCAGATGGATGCCAGGCCCCACCCCTTGGTTTCATCACCACTGAAGTATTTTCTCCCCAACCAGTCTCTTTTCGGTAAGAGGGATCCCCAGGTAGACTCTGGAAGGACTGTTTTTTTGGGGTGGGAACTAAAGGGAAAAGCCCCCCCCCCCACCCCGAGCCTGTGTTTCAGGCCAGCTTTTCCTTAAGGAGGGTCTGATTCCAACCAGGTCCCTAGGGCCCTGGCTGGTGGGGGCAGGGCTGGCTTAAGTATCGCTTCCTCCTGGGGCTTCCTGCAGGCCCCTTTCACTTCCTGCCTGGTAGCCAGAGGCTGGGGGCTCCAGGAGGGGTTGGGGAGGCCCAGCTGGTGAGGCCGGGGAGAAAGGCCTGACCCCTCACCTCCCTCTGTCTCAGAAGGGACAGCATTACCCCTACAAGCTGGTAGCATCTCCCTGGGCCTCAGGTCTCTGGACCCTCTTCCCCATCTGCAAAATGGACTCTTGAGGCCCACCAAGCTGTCCTTGGAGATTGAAGAGGTCATGTGATATGTAGGGACAGAGGGGCCCCTGCCATGGCCAGGGAACGCTCCCAGCAGGGAGGTGGGAGCAGGCCTGGTCCTGCCCTCATGACCTGGGAGTGGGGAGGAGATGGGGGTACAGCAGAAATGACAGCCCCCAATCTCTGGCAGAGTGGGGCACAATTGTGAGGAAAGAGATGCCAGTTCCCCACCCCTGTGCTTTCCTCCTGGGACTCCGGGGGTGCTCCAGTGGTTGGCGTTGGGCAGGGGAGGGAGGCTACTGGGGTCCCAGGAACCGGAGGAACCTTGGGCATCTCTCCCCCATCCCCTAGGCTGCAGAAAATCTGGGATCCGGGCTCGAATCTAGCGACTTTGGGGCAGGAGTCTCTGCGCAGTTCCTGCCGTCAGCCCGGCCACCACTGGCCCGGGGCTATTTGGGCGTGGGGCTTGGGAGGAGAGGTACCGCCGAAGGGTGACTAGAAAGGGGTGGGGTCAAGGCCCAGGAGCCAGGAAAAGGCGTGGGACCGGATAACGCGCGGGACCAAGGCCTAGGGCACCTACTTCGGGCTCCCTACTTCTGCACCCTCGGAGTCTGTGTCCTCACGTGCATCCCGAGCCAGGGGGCCCTGAATGCGGCCCATGGCCCTGACTCAAGAGCGAGGCGCAGGTGCAGGACTCCTCTGCACGAAACTGCGCCCCAGGAACTGGGGGCCTGGCGGGGAGGGCGCACCTGTCCTCATGCACGTGCTGTGGCCTCCGTGGAGCTCCATCCACTCTTGGTTCCCACTATGGTCTCGGTGTCCGCTCCAGATTCAGATTCGCACATTCACTCAGGGCTTTGGAGGGTCCTGGAGGAGGAGCTCGTGGGGGCGTTCAGG